TGGTCAAAGTAACATATTTTTTGGTAATTTGAAACATTTATTTTAATTTGTACAGAAATACGCAACTAGATAAAATTGAACAGACAATGAAATCATAACTGATGGATTCATTTTATTAAACTCGTATTATTGCATTCATTTTGACTTATTCATGGCCCTCTTTATAATATGCAATAAAATTGCCTTTTTTCCTCAGTATTCAAGGAAAACTATAAGTATGCTATACAGCTAAATTCAGAATTCAATGCGGAATCCAAAAACGAATCTGGGTTACCGTACAAAAAAATTGGCGTCGGTGTCGCGACGCCCTAATGAATGACGCCTATTGCTGGATCTCTTCGAAAATAAGAGGACCCTTTGACAAAATCGTCTGCCTTCACGAAATATGGATATTCTCTCTCATTTTTCAGATATTTGCCCGCGGAGTTTTATATGGGACACCCTGTATAAGCACTACACATACACTACCGAAATTTAACAATAATACCACATTAAGCGTTTACACCCCAATCGAAATGATTCAAATTATCCAATCTCATTTGAACCCTAATTTCAAATTCTCTCTCTTATCCTCTTTCTATATTCATAAAAAATGTAAATAAGCTTCACTTACCATTTGAATACAATTACATAAGATATACAATTGTACAAATTTCATGCTGATTTAGACATCACAAAACAGGTTATATTTGCCTAGCTTGAGTCTACTTCAGTGAAAATTCATACAACTATCCAATATCCATTATTTTATTTATTTCCACATTATTGATTGTTTTGATATTGATGATTGTATGTAAAATGGTCGAGGTTGGGTTTAAAAGCAGCTCTCACAGCTGAACTCTGCCTATTCATCATTTCTTTGAATTTTATTTAATTGTTACTTCTTATTGTGATGAATAAAGATATATTATTATTATTATTATTATTATTATTATTATTATAATTATGATACTCACCGCAGCTTCCGGTCGGCGAATTTTTCTCCTGAGAAACAATATGAGAGGGACAAGAATAACCAAGCTGATACATACAATAGAGACGGAAGGAACTATGTAGGTATTCATATGGGAGTAGTTTAAAGTTGCTGCTGCCGAATTTTCTTTCTGAAAAAAAAATATTCACTTACTTCCTAGTGCACAATCATTCATGAGAGGGACAAACTGCTTATATTCGGCGAGTAAAATTCGAGTAATGTATGGCGATCTCTAAAGAACCAAAGAGAAAGTTGAAAGAAGCTGAAGTTCAAATAATTTTATCAAGATGACGAACAAATCTAAGCTAGCTCTGTTAATTTCAGGGAAAGAAACGATAATTTTATCTGGTTTAATTGAATAGATTTTCAAACACGTTTGCACTTGTCATTGCAACCATTAATGACCTAAGAAAATGTGGAAGAGATAGCACTAGGTTGTTTCAAAAGTCTACGACTGACAAAGAATGTCCTGTGTCACTATTTCTCGGAATTGAAGGCCGTGGATTTTTGAAATTTATTCCTGACATTTTGCTGGCGTGACTGGCTAGTTTCGTCAGATGTTCATACATCCTGAGTTAAGATCTTCAATGACTGGAAATTACGGCTGCATAACGCGGATATTAGTTGACTCCTTCGGTAGTTTGGTGTGCTAATACCTGTACCCGGCTTAGGTATATTATGTAAAGCTTGTTTATGTTGATTCAAGTATATTGTCAATAACATTCGTCGACCCTTTTCTACCTTCCGTCATGCTGTTTGCTACTCTTCTTACAATGGAATTCCATATTCAATTAGGGTTCACAGCTTCTTTTCTGTTGAAATCATTCGTATGTTTGTGCATTTCTATTGCCTCCCTTACCAGTCAGCTATGGTATCCCTGGTCGGAGGCAAACAGAATCCCGTGGTTTCCTTCACTGACTGCGTGTTCTGCCATATCCCACTTATCCGTTTGGCCTAGTCTGCAATTTCTTTCATGCATCTTCAGCCTTGCTCCAATGGATCTTCTTGTGGTTCCCACAAGTGCACGGTATTTGATAAACTCCTGCTGCTGATAGTGGGTCCCTTTTGTCTTTAGCCGACCTGAGTCTTTGTTGTATCTTTTTGGTGGGTTTGAAAACCATTTTGATGTTTTGTTTATCCATTGTTTTCCAATTCTCTTTGTTACCCTAGGGATATAAGGTACATTCGCGCGTGGAACCATCTGAGTCTTTTCATTGTTTTGAGGCATGGAATTATTCAGTTTCATGGCCTTGTTGATATCGAGTACACTGTATCCATTCAATCTCAAGGTCACTTGAAGATGTTCCAGTTATTCCTCTAGATGCTCTGATCTACATATTCTTTGAGTCAGTTCCGTTAGAGTGGAGATGAATGAGATGGTGGTTTGATAGTGCAGGTACCTATCCGTTGCGAGGATTTGCTGTATACTTTGTGGGTTGGTGAAGCAACACATCGTTCGATCCGCTGCTTCTCTTCAGGCTCTTCCTGGTGAACTTGATGCTTGGGTGTCGAGTGTTCAGGTGGTCTAGGAGAAGATTCAGAGTGTTCGTTCTATGTTTCCAGATTACGAATGTGTCATCTACGTAACGTAACCATAAGGTCGGTTTCAATTCAAAGGTGTTAACTGCTTTCTTTTCAAAACTTTCCATGAATTAGTTGGATATATCTGGGCTGAGTGGACTTCCCATCGCCACACGCCATCTAGTCTTCCAGTGGGACATTGCTGAACAAGGACACAACATCCAAGCTGACCAGAATATCCATCGGCTCCAGAGTTGAGTCCCCAATTTCACCAACGACGTCTGTCGAATCCTTGACGTAGGAGTTTGTCTTTTCCACATGAGGCTGGAAAAGCGAGGCTAGATGCTTCGCCAGGTGGTAGGTCGGTGAGCCTGGGTCACTGACTATTGGTCTCAGTGGCATGATTGTTGTTGTGTACTTTCGGAAGACCGTAGAGCCTGGGAGGAACGGCTTCTGTTCTGAGAATATTTTCTTGTAAGGAATCCGACAGCGAGAAAGACTTAACGATTTTGTTAACGTTCCTCAACTTTGATTGTGTTGGGTCCAATTTGAGATTGCGGTAGTTTGCAAGGTCTAATAGTTTCTCAATGTTACTGTTATATTCTTCCGTTTTCAGAAACACCGTCATATTTCCCGTATCTTCTGGAAGAATCGTGATACCCTCATCAGAGTTCAAGCTTTTTTAAAGGTTGTAGTTACTTTTTTTTGGATGTTGCATTCTGGAGTTCATGCTTCGCTCAGAATATTTGCTGTCACAAAATCATGATTTCTTCCGCTTCCTCATCCGGTAGACTCCTGATTGCACCTTCCGTAGCAGCGATGATTCCTTCGTTTGGTACCTGGCGCGGCATGATCGCGAAATTACCGCCTCGTGCTAACACTGACGTTACGTCTTCAGTGAGATCGAGGTCTGTTCGGTTAATAAACACTGAAACGATCATTCAAATCAGCTCAGCCAAATCGGATCTGTTCGAAGTGAAAGTGTCTACGAGAATGGATCCACCATACACTGGACTAGTTAGCGGAGGCGGGTAATGCCTTGCTGAAACTACACCTGGTGCTTGGCAACCGAATAAAACCTCAAGACTGAAACGAACTTGATGACATATCGTACTCGAAAGTGGAGAATGAACGAGACAAAGTAAGCAAAAAACACAAAATGAAGTTTGAAAAACAACACAAGGCCAGAGGTGCACCAACCCCACGCTTAGACATGTACAGACTGGTCATACATCGAACAGACCGGGTTCTCACTGAAGACGAAGCCACTGAGACCAATAGTCAATGCCCTAGGCTCACCGACCTACCACCTGACGAAGCATGTAGCTTCACTCCTCCAGCCTCATGTAGGAATGACAAACTCCTACATTAAGGATTCGATAGACTTCGTTGGTGAAATCAGGAACTTAGCTCTGGAGCAGACGGATATTCTATTCAGCTTCGATGTTGTGTCCTTGTTCACCAATGTCCCACTAAGAGACTCTATGAAGGAGCTAGCCTACTTGTTTCCGACTGATATGGTCGAACTCTCCAGAACATGTCTCACGGCTAGTTACTTTCAATGGAAGGGAAACTTTTATGAGCATCTAGATGGCGCGGCGATAGGAAGTCTACATAGCCCAGTGATAGTCAATTACTCCATGGAACGTTTTGAAGCGGAAGCAATTAACACCTTTTAATTAGAACCTACCTTGTGGCTACGTTTCGTGGATGACACTTCCGTCATCTGAAACATGAAAGGGACGCTCTGAACTTTTCCTTGACCACTTGAACGCTCGACACCCAAGTATCAAATTCACCATGGAGACTGAACAGAAGCAGCGGATAGCACTCCCAGGTGTACTAATCTAACGATGTGGTGCTAAACTAACCCACAAAGTTTACCGAAAACCCACGCACGTACTATCGAACTGCCATCCTAGTCAAAAAAGACGAGTCATCTTCACTCTAACGGAACATGCTCGAAGAATATGTGTACCAGAGCATCTAAAGCAGGGGTCGGCAAGTAGTTTTGGAAGGGGTCCGGATACTGTGGGAAAATTTTAACGAGGTCCAGAAATAAACAACTGATAATAACTAGGTGCTACCTATGTATTATTTTGGTTTCATATCAAATTCTGAGTTATAAAACACAAGACCTGAAATTAATGTGACAAACTACACTGAAGGCCTTGAGGTCTTGAGCCAGTTTTTTATAGTTTGGTTCTCGATAGGAACAGCAAATTGCAAGTGTGTCTTCTAGGTGGGCGTCCGTTGATCTCGAACGATACATGTTTAAAAAAAATCATTTTTGAGCAAGATGTTTCACATACGTATGTTGAGCGAAACATAGTGGCCAAATGTATAGCAATTTTCATGTTTTCCCCAAAAGTCTTCGATGGATAAGTTTTATACATATGCGAAGACACATCTTCTGGCAAATCAATTATCTCTCTTTGAAGTGATGGCTTTGGCAGATTCAACAACTTGGCAGTCACATCTGTCCGTTCTGCCGCAACATCAACTAAATTGCACAAACACACACACACACAGGCTGAATAGGAAACTAATCAAACCATATTGGTTGTAGGTACTTGTAAAACAGGTTAACAAGGCAACTTACTGAAATAAAATGAGTACTAAGTTGAATTATACGTGGCTCAAAAATATTATTTTAAATAATAAAGGTATATTATACCTTATTTACGTATTAATTTATACTTGGTATACAACACATTACAATATTTGGCGGTCCGAAGTTCGACCTTTCGCAGTCCGCAAGAACTAGAACATCTTCAAGTGACTTTAAGATTGAATGGATACAGTGAACCCAATATCGGACAAGTCAGCCTAGTAAACCACAAGATTCTGTTAGAAAATACGAAACTCATTGCCCCCGACCAGGGATACCATAGCCGACTGGTACGAGAGGCAATAGAAATCCACAAACACACGGATAATTTCAACAGAAAAGAAGCTGTGAACCTCAATCAAATATGGAATCCCATTCTAAGAAATTTAAGAATAGCAAACCGCATGACGGTAGGCAGAAAAGGGTCTACGAATGTTATTGACAATTTACATAATCCAGGTTCAGGCATTACCACACCAGACTACTTGAATCAACATAAAAACGCTTCAGGTAATTTACCTAAGCCAGGTACAGGTATTAGCACACCAAACTACTTGGGTAGTGAACATAAATACACGTTACCCAGTCGTAATATCCAGTCATCAGAGATATTATAAATTTGCTGCATTCAAAACCGCTACTTTCAACTAAAAAAATGGAGGTTCGAAGTCCGAATAATATTATTATAATTATAAAATTAAGTTTTCAATCTACGAAAAATATGGAGTTGTTAAGGAATCTGATCTACCTTATATAAAGCGAGCGAAATGAAAATTTAATTATGTTGAAAAAAATGAACCGAGTATTCACTTCAGGACCCGAAAGAAAATAATTGGGTGATTTATCAGTTTATTTCGTCAGAAACAGCAATTCAATTTATGCTTATTGAATTTCAGAACGAAGGGAGGAATTATGATATGAAAGAACGTAATTGAGAGAATGTCACAATTTCTATAAGAATGACTTACTGCAGGAGGTGACGTTGACTTCAATGTAGTTGTCAGCAAAATGTGATTTTCGTGTTTTGGTGCCAGAGGTTGAACAGGAATCCTGCCGGAGCTTTCGTCAACTGAAACAGAAATAAACAGAGTTCAGTATCGCCAATATATCAATCAGAACTTCGATCCAACAAAACAATCAAGATACCAAAAACTACGAGAAATTCCCTATTGATTAAACAGTATGTCTCACACACCTGGTAAACTACCCTTTTGTATGTATTATTCGTGTAAGATCCATTTTCAATTTTGAAATGAAATGTCCTCAATTTTATTGAACCTTTGAATTGGAGATCATTTGGATCGTCCTTTATATTTGTGATGCACTGTTTGGAACCTTTGGTGTAGTAATGAATATTACTGGAGTTTTTTCCCAACACCAAACCGTTATTTTAACACCTCGACACGTGTTTCAATAACCAAGTCATCATCTTCAAGAGGAAGATCTTTCTCCAGATGAAATAGTTCTTATACAGTGTGTCCGCAAAGTATGGAATAAATTCGATATTTCCAAAACCAGAGGTCGTTTTTCAAAAACCTGAAACACGTCGATTTTTAATTTTATTATTCTACATTTTACAACAAAATTTCATTATACAGGGTGATCCATATTAATGTGATGACGTCATTGATATTTTTTTTAAATGCAACACCCTGTATTTGGTATTTTAGATGATCCGTAACGAGCTGATTCCGAAAAGTATGATATTTGGGGTCTAATGGACAGAATTTGAAAGATGTGCGCTTAGAAAATTAATTTTATTGATATCTAATCTGTTTAAAAATCTGTTCAAAATCTGTTCAAAATTTCGTTTTTCCAAACGACAACTCCTAGAAGTTGAGAAACTTGTGCGAGCTAAGGACTAACGAGGTCTTACTTTTTAACATGTGATTCCTAACACGGTTGCAGAATCATCCCAGAAATTAATTAATTATTTTATATTTTTTTCTCATGATTAATTCAACAACGGGAAAGTAATCCAGTAATAAATACATGACGTTATTTTAAATGTTCGAACTGCAGTCCTTGCTGTATTTGACAGTAACCGTGCTAACAAGTATTTCTTATTGACTTGAAAAAACTAGGCAGCCAGTTTTTTTTTGTTATATTTGTGAAATGTCATTATTTCGATTGACGTTCAGTAACTGTTAAATAGGGCAGCAGTTGTTGTATTAATTCTTGAATTTTCTGTAGTATTGCTTCGAATTACTTTGAAGTAGGTAGTAATGAATTTAAGTGCAAAGCAAAGAATTGAAATAACTATGATGATTGGCTATGGAGACAGATCGCGAACTCAGATGGAAGTGTGTAACTTACCTAATGAAAAATATCGAGAAAGACGCATAGCATAGTCAGCAGTAAGTAAGATTGAAAAGAAATTTCGAGAAACTGGTACAGTTGAAAATGCACGCAAATCAGGTCGTCCTTCTCTAAATGATGGTACAAAACTAGATGTCCTACTTGCTTCTGAAGAAGATGTGCACACTTCTGTTCGTAAGGTTAGTCGTGATTTCGATGTCAGTAAAACAACTGTACATAAAGATTGAAATTGGAAAAATGGCATCACTTTAAAATCGAACTTCTACAGGAATTAAATGAGGATGATCCAGAGAGAAGAATAGAATTTTGTGAAACCATGATGGATAACTGTCACCAAGACCGTCTCCTCGTAAAAAATATAATTTTTTCTGATGAAGCCACGTTTACATTGAATTGTGGGGTCGACCGTCAGAATTGTAGGTACTGGGACAAAGAAAACCCCCACTGGATGCGTGAGCATTCACAATACCCGCAAAAGGTAAATGTATGGGCTGGCATTGTAGGAAACAAGATCATCGGACCCTACTTTTTCGACGGTACTTTAGAAGGGCCAATAAACCTTCAGTTTTTAAGAAGATATGTTGTACCTACTTCAATTAATTTATTTCCCAGTAAAATTAATCCTGGAAGTTTAGATGAAAGTTTATGATTTCAACAGAATGGTGCGCCTCCACAGTATGCTGCAGATGTTCGAAGGTATCTCGACCAAATGTTTACGAACCGATGGATTGGTAGACGTGGACAGATTGAATGGCCAGCGAGGTCGCCAGACTTAAATCCGTTGGATTACTTTATGTGGAGCTATCTGAAGAATCTTCATAAAACGAAACCAGCAAATATTCAAGAATTAAAAGAGAGAATTCGAACAGAAATAAACAATATTTCTCAATAAACCATAAACAAGGTTCAACAAGAATTTATTCAACGTTTAGGTTACTGTCAAATACAGCAAGGACTACAGTTCGAACATTTATGATAAACCATGTATTTATTACTTTTATTAGATATCAATAAAATTTATTTTCTAAGCACACATCTTTCAAATTCTGTCCGCTAGACCCCTTTTCGGAATCAGCTCGTTACGGATTATCTAAAACTAACACCAAATACAGGGAGTTGCATTTTAAAAAAATACCGATGACGTCATCACATTAAGATGGATCACTCTGTATAATGAAATTTTATTGTAAAATGTAGAATAATAAAATTAAAAATCGACGTGTTTCAGGTTTTTGAAAAACGACCTCTGGTTTTGGAAATATCGAATTTATTCCATACTTTGCGGACACACTGTATAGCTATCTTATAGCTCATATACAATATCACGTTGTTTGTGTTGTTGACATTATTCTATCTGTTCTTTTCTGTCATTCACCATTGTATTCAAATCGTTTATACCAGTACTTGTTTTTGTATCTTATGAATTCAGTTTCTCAATTCTGTAATCGGCTTTAGCTCTCGAACAGTATACTACTCGTATATAAAGGGATAAATGAAAATAAATGAAACAGAAGAGAAAATCCATTGTGGAAAAGCAATTCTGATGCCGTCCATCATTTTCTTTTACGTATACAGAATAAATTCAGATAATTTGGAAAAACGTAAAAGCTGAAGCACACACAAATTAAGTCGCGGACAACAGATGGTTATTGAAAAAAGTAATTAAATTTGAATTAGTTCACCACTCATTCATATATTTTATAACTCAAGCATGAAGATTTTCTAGTTCAATAAAAGAGAAATTAAGGAAACATGGAAATAAATTGTATCGTAATCTACTTTTTGATTAATATTCCTTGATGAAACCAACATGAAATGGGAATTTCATGAAGTTCCAAAAATAATATCATCATGGCATCCCTCGATGAGTTACTTGATATAGCTTTTTTTTGTTCGGGATTTCCGACGAAAAACGTAATCTACTAACATTCAACTTCAGGTCAAGTAATTATCTCCTTTCATATCGAGCCTTATATTCATAAAGTTAATACCGTACTTGTAGTGTAATGAAACGAAACGTAATGCGAGAAAATAATTTATGAAACATTTCATTAAGCTCAACTTGCTACATTTTTTTTTCAAAAATAACCGCATCAACCGCGAAGGGTTATTAGCGGGGAGGAACAATTAGGTATAATTATATTTTATGTAATATATGAATAGATATCAAAAAGGTTACTAAAGAGTTCAAGTTCATCACGTCTAAGGCAGAATTGAGATCACTGGGAAGTCTTGCTTCTTGTCTTTCATATTCAAAAACTGGGCACTCCAGGATAATGTGTTTCACACTGTTGATAACACCACAAATATCACACTCCACAGCATCTTATTTCTTCATAAGGTGTTGGTGTGTTAGTCTTGTGTGTCCGCCTGTTTTATCATTTCCCCGTCTTCATAAGGTTTCTTTTTTTGTGCAATTATCTGGGACACACGTTACGATGCTTCAGTTGCAGCCTTATTTTTGTCGACTGTTTTTAAAAATATTGATTGTTGTCCGATTAACTGCTTTTTTAACTGTTTCAGTTTCTTCTTTCTGGCGGCAGAATGTAGTGGGAATGATTTTTCAAAATTATAATGTACAGTTTTATGATGTCTCTCAATATTTCTTTTTTTAGCAACGGAGACCGAAGTATTACATAACAAACAAACATTTTTATCTTTAACTTCTGTAAAAAAGTATTGTTTTTCCCATTCCGAATGAAAGTGGTATGTCTTTACCTTCTTACAACTGCTTGCCATAATATTATTTTTGTTGTTCTTTACTAACCCAACCGCTGGACGTTGGTTACGCGTTCAGTTTTAAACTAAGCGCAATGTCGCCGCGCCGTGCGTATTTATCCCGTTCAACGCAATCCAGATCGTTCTGGAACACTAACGCGCTGGTCCGGCTGGTCGGTTCTAGCCGATTCTAGCTTGATGGCGTCAGCGGCAGATCGCTCACCGCAACGTTGCCGCTGTTTATGTTTAATATTATGACAATTAGATTTTTTTGTGGAATTTTCGGAAGCTTCTCTGATTTTTGCAGTTTGTATTTTTTAAATTAAAATCGTTGTGAGAGCTACCAGAATTGCCTCCGCGAGCTACCGGTAGCTCGCGATCGACAGGTTGGCGACCACTGGTTTAATATAACGAGGTTGGAATGGTTGATGTATTCCTCTAAGACTACTCTGCGTTTGTTAGAAGATGCGCAGCTCGATAGAGGATTGTGGGCGTTGAAATCTCCCATGATAATGAAGGGTTTTGGAAGCTGTTGAATTATCGTATCGTATCGTATCGTTGCAGATGCATACTTTTTGCCGAAATGTGTTCTGACGTTATTGAAACCATTTTTGAAGCGATCGATTTTTTAGTATAAATGGTGACTCCACCGCAGGCTCTGAGTGGGCTATTTCTAATTTTATGGAAAGAGTTGTAAGTTTAATTTCGTATGTATGTGCAGTCTTGAAGTTAGTTTTCTGCAAACATATTACTGAGAGGTTTTTATTATTCATTAGAAGTTGAAGCATTTCCAGATGGGGGAATACTCCATTTATGTTCCATTGAAGAATGAATTCTGTTAATAAAAAAAATGAAGAAAAGGGAGGTCATAAACTTCAATAAATTTCTTGTGACAGGTCGCTTTCGTTCTCAGAAAGGGAAATATTTGAGTTTGTTTCGAGTTCATTATTCAGTTGTTTCATCAACTTTCTCTTTAATTTTGTGATACGAGCCTTAATACTTCGTTCAGTCAGAGCTGGGTATATTTTTGTT